AGTTCTGTTCCATTGATGTATGTGTCATTAATTTTTTTTTAATTTGAAAGGCAGATGTTATAGATTGTAGAGACAAAAAGAGGTTTTCCATCAGCTGGTTCACTCCCAAAATGTCTGCAACAACCAAAGCTAAGCTGATCTGAAGTCCGAATCCAGGAATGGGTGCAGGAATGGGTGCAAGGGCTTGAGCCAGCCTCTGCTGCTTTTCCAGGCCATAAGCAAGGAGCTGGATCAGAGGTGGAGCATTCCTGTCCTGAACTGGCACCTGTATGGGATGCTGGCACCACAGCTGGAGAATTAGCCTGTCACTCTACCAGGCAAGCCTTGTGCCAGTTTTTAATGCCAATGTTGTTATGTTTTAATTACTGTAGGTTTGTAGTATACTTTGAAATCAAATACTATGATGCGTCCCACTTGACTTTGTTTTTTGTTTTGCTCAATGTTGCTTTGGTTATTCTAGGTCTTTTATGATTCCATATGAATTTTAATTTTACTCTAACTTTATAAAGAATGTCCCTGGTATTTTGACAGAAATTACATTGAATATGTAGATTGCTTTAGGTGGTGTAGACATTTTAATTACATTAATTATTCTAATCCATAAGCAAGGAACATCTTTATTTTTGTGTGTGTTTCTTGGTAATTTCTTTCATTAATATTTTAGAATTTTTATTGTAGAGATCCTTCATTTTTTATTAAATTCCTAAACATTTGATTTTTATTTCTTTTGTAAATGGGATTTCTGATTTTCAACAAAATCACTGTTGATATGTAAAATATTACTTTTTTGTGTTAATTTTGTATCCTGCAACTTTACTGACTTTATTCCTAACAGATTTTTGATGTATATGTAGTGCTTTTCATATATGCCATCTCATTTGCAAACATGGCTGTTTTGACTTCCTCTTCTCCAATTTTGATGTCCTTTATTTCTTCCTCTGCTATGTGCTTATTGATACTTCTAATACTGTATTGAACAAGAGTGGTTTAATGGACATCTTGTCTTGTTCTAGATCTAAAGGAAATTGCTTTTAACTTTTACCTGTTTAATATGATATTGACTATTGATTTGTTATTTGCAGCCTTTATAATTCTTAGATATGTTCCTTCTATATCTAATTTGTTGACAGTTTTTTAAATCATGCTCGCATTGATTCTTATCAAATGTTCCTTCTCCTTTTGATCATGTAATTATATGATCATATCATTTTTGTCATAATGTTGATGTGATGTATGAAGTTTATTGATTTGCGGATATTAAACCACTCTTGTATCTCTGAGATAAATTCCACTTGATCCTGAGTGTATGATCTCTTTCTAACTTTTCTTAAAACTATTTAAAAGGCAGAGTTACAGAGGAGAGAGAGAGAGAGAGAGAGAGAGAGAACGAGTTCTTGATTCCCCAAATGGCCGCAGTGGCCATGGTTACGCTAGTTTGAAGCTAGGAGCCTGAAACTCCACTGAGGTCTCCCATGTGGGAGACAAGAACCCAAGTCTTTGGGCCATCCTCAACTGCTTTTTCCAGGTACATTCTCAGGAAACTTTAAGTGGAATAGCTAGGACTCGAGCTGCTGATCATATGGGATGTGTATGACATCACAGGTGGCAGCTTTAACCTTGTATACTACAAGGTTGGTCCCATGATGTATCATCTTTATAATGTTATGTTGGATGGATTTGATTTGCAATATTCTGTTTAGAATGTTTTCATCTCCTATTATCAAGGACATAGTTTGCTTTTTGTGTTGTATCTTGTTTGATGCTGCTCTCATAAAGGGAATTCAGCAGAGTTCTGTCCTGTTCTGTATTTTGGGATAGTTTCATCAATATCACGGTTAGTTCAATTTCAAGTATTTTGTAGAATTCAGTAGTAACGCTAAGTCCTAAGCTTTTCCTTGATGGAAAATCTTTAGTTACTACCTTAGTCTTGTTACACATTGATTTAGATGCTATATTATCTTTTTCATTTAGTTTTGGCAGATTATATATCCAAACAAATTTCCATTTCTTCAATATTTTCTAATGTTTTAGCTTACAGTTGTTCATAGCAGCTTCTTATAATCTTTGTGTTTCTGAGATTGTAATGCCTTCTTTTTCTTTTGGGTTTCTTTTTTGGTCTGACCAAAGCTTGACTGTTTGCTTTTTCTCCCCGAAAATAGCTTTATATTTTGTTCAGTCAAATCCTGCTTACCTTTCTTTTTTTTATTCTTGGTTGTTTTGTATCCTATTTAAATTTTTTTTCCCCCAAATCCGTGGTCATTAAAAGTCTTCCTATGTTGTGTTTGTCATTCATTTGAGGTGTCCAGGTTCCCTTTTTTTTTCTTTACCAAAGGGTTCTTCATTTGTAGCAACGTGATTTTATTTATTTGTTTATGTGTGTGTATGTATTTTTAAAGATTAATTTTGTTTATTTGTAAGGAAGAATGACAGAGAGGAAGAGACACAGACAGATCTGCTATCTGCTGGTTTGCTTCTTACATGGCCACAATAACTAGGGCTGGGTCAGTTGAAAGTCAGGAACCTGGAGCTGCATCCACGTTTCTCACATGGTTGGCAGATGCCCAGGCAATTGGGCTATCTTCCCTAGCTTTCTTAGGCACATTAGCAGGGAGTTTGATTGGAAGTGGAGCAGCTGGAACTTGAACCAAAACCCTTTTTGGATGTACCAGCATTGCCACAGTAACTAAACTTGCTGTACCACAATGCTGACCCCAGTAGCTCTACTCTTGCTGAATTTTAATGATGCATGAGTGTTGGGTTATATTGAGTGTGTTCTATGTGTCAGCTGATATGATCATACAGTTTTTCATCTGTTGGTAGGGTTCCAGACACAGTGGCCTTGCGACACATGATGGGAGGTACTCCTGAGACTTGCCTATATTGGATTTTTCTTTTTTTCCCCATTCTTGAAGAGTAAAGGTTAAAAGTCATTGATGTCACTAGTCCAACCTCATCCTCTTCTGGACAGGGAGCCCATGGAGGGTGTAAGGTGGACCTTCAGTGATAACCTGGGCTCCAAGGGTCTGGTACCTTCCCACCCAATCTACATACAACATTGTTTAGGTTTCACTGGCTACTTATACTTGTTGTTTTTATGAATTATATTGAAGGATTTAGCTACATTTATTTATATATTTATTTAAAATTCAGAGTTACTGAAAGGGTGGGGGAACAGATTTTTCATCTTCTGATTTGTTCGCTATTGCTATACCAGGCCAAAATCAGGAGCCAGGAGTGCCTTTCTGTCTCCCACATGGGAGGGATCCAAACACTTAGGACATCTTCTGCTGCTTTTCTAGGTGCGTTAGCAGAGAGCTGGATCAGTAGTAGAGCAGCTGGGACAAGAACTGGCGCCCGTATGAGAGACCAACATTCAAGTGGTGTTTCACTAGCAGTGTCACAGCTCCAGCCCCTTAAGAGATATATTAAAATAAGCAGATTGGAACCAGTTATCAGTTGCAGTATTTAGAAAGAAAAGTCCTTCTCAAAAAAAAAAAAAGCAAGCAAGAAAGAAATTAAGTGTAATGGAGAAAGTTTTTGATTTGTTTAAAGTAAAAATTGGGCATACTTTTGGGACAGGAAGCAACTGTCAGTTGTGGCTTTGAATCTACAGATATGGAAATAAGGGAAATTAACTGGCTTCAGTTACTTTGTGTATTTTATAGCTTAATAATGCATCAAATTATTAGATGCATATCTAGTTTCAGTTGTTTTAATAGACATATAAAGTTGTTACAATTGACTGCGCAGAGAAAAATGTCTTAATTTTTCATGCCAGTGTTGAATCTTATATATTTGTACATCTTATTTTTTTTTAAAGATGTATTTATTTTTCATTTAAAAGGCAAAGTTATAAAGAGGAAAGACAGAGATTTTCTATTCTGTCACTCCCCAAATGATCGCAGTATCTGGAGTTGGGCTGTTCTGAAGCCAAAAGCCTGGAGCTTCTATGGGTCTCTCGTGTGGGTGAGGGGACCCAAACACTTGAGCCATCTTTTGTTGCTTTTCCAGGAGCCTTAGCAGAGGGCTAGATCAGAAGTGGAGCAGCCATGTGCGAAGCCAGCATTGCAGGTGGAGGCTTTAACCTACTATACCACAGCACCAACCTCAGTTCTACACGTTTTAAAGAAAATTTATGATGTGTATTTTTCCTTATATTTTCTTTATGCTATAAAAGCTTCATGATCAGTTTCTGCTGTGAACTTATTTCAGCTGACATTTTGTGGTTTTAAAAAGGCTCTTAATTAAGAATACAGTTTCCTTAAATAATATTGCTGTTGGATAGCTTTACCTAGCAGCAGTTAGATAAAGGCTCGAACCAGGTGTATGGTGGGAACTCATATGGTGGTCATTTTATTATAACTCTTAATTGTAGCCACCGAATGTAACATGTTTCCGGATGTGTTTGTGTGATTTCCTCTGCTAACAAGGTGGAAACTTCTCTAGAAGTTTTTACTGAACTCATTACATTGGGAGCAGTTGGACCCAGTGCAGTGGCTCAATGGCTAAATCCTTTCCTTGAGAGCATTGGCATCCCGTATGGGCACTGGTTTGTGTCCCACTGCTCCATTTCCCAGCTAGCTCCCTGCCTGTGGCCTGGGAAAGCAGTTGAGGACAGCCCAGAGCCTTGGAAACCTGCACGTGCATAGGAGACCCAGAAGAAGTTCCTGACTCCTGGTTCCTGGCTTTGAATTGGCTCAACTCTGGTTCACGCAGTCCTCTGGGGAATGAATCGGCAGGTGGAAAATCTTTCTGTGTCTCCTCTCCATAAACTTGATCTGCCTTTTCAGTAAAGATAAAATGAATCTTTAAAAATGAAATTATGAGCAGCTGAGTATTCACTTAATCCTTGTTAGTTGTGCCCTTATATCATCATATTGGACTTTGAAAGATATAACTAAATTTTGGATCCTCTGAAATTTATGTTTTTATTAAAAGATAGGGGAAAGGGAAGAATGGTTGAAGTGAACTGAAAGAGCCTTTTATTTTCATGCTGATAGTCCTGTCTTCTAGAGGAGGCTTATAGTTTTATTTAGGGATGTTCATGTGCACTGCACATAGGCTCTGTGTCAGTGACTTATGGAACTATTGGTTTTGAATATACTGCATATGTGCTAGATGTGCTTTTTTCATCCCTGATACGGATGTTCACGCTTACTCCTGACCAAAAAGAGAATTTCAGGGTCAGCTCAAACTAAGCTTCTGCCAGTAGTGCTGGCATCCCATATGTGTGCTAGTCTGAATCCTGGCTGCTCTACTGCCAATCCAGCTCTCTGCTTATGGCCTGGGAAAGCATCAGAGAATGGCCCAAGTACTTGAATTCCTGTGGGAGTCCCAGAGAAAACTCCTGGCTTTGAATTGGCCGTTGTCCAGCTGTTGCAGCCATTTGAAGAGTGAATCAGCAGTTGGAAGGACACTCTGTGTCTCCTCCCCCTGTAACACTGCCTTCCCAATAAAAATAAATCTTTATATATATATACACATGTTTATATACATATATATCTATGTATGCATATAAAAGCTATGATGTCATTCGTTTATCAGTGTTTATTGTGTGTTTCTCTGTGCTAAGACTAGGTGGGGATGAACTGAAGTACAGCAGGTTGTCCCTGTTATTGAAGAGGAATGGCTGGGCATGGAGGCCAGAGGCTTCCCCAATAAAATCAGGCTGCGATTGCTAAGTAAAGGGGAGGGGACGCTCAACAGGCAAGAAGATACCATCCAATTAGGTATTCTAATGCAAATACCTACTAGTATCTCACCCAGTGCTTCACTAGAACCAGTCAGTAGAACCAGCTTGATAACAATGCGGTTAGGCATCCTCCTTGAATCTTGAAGACAGTGGATAGTCTGAATAATATATATCAAGTTGAACGAAAATTACTGTTTCGTGCTATTTTAAGCTAACTTCAGAAAAGCTTTTTTTTTTTTTTATGGTTTATATATTTGAAAGTGTTAACAGAAAAGAAAAATGGAGAAAGATCTTTGATCCACTGATACACTACCCAGATGGCTCAACAGCCAGGGCTGAACCAGGCAAAATCCAGGAGCTTTTCCCTGTGGGTGGCAAGGACTGAAACCTGTTCTTCCTTACTTTTACATACCCTATCAGAGTGGGTATTCCCATGATCAAGTATGTTTGTTTTTAGCACTTTTCTTACTTTCTAGCACTGTGACATGCCTCAGTCACATCTTGTATTTTGTGCCCAAGTCTTAACATCAGCTCTGTGTCTGGATAAATGGAGCATGTCCTAGTTCCTTTTATTGGAGAACAGTAATAAATCCAAGATGTGTTCTTTACCACTGGGTTGTCATTACTTGTATGCTTTTCCAGCCAGCAGGGGAAAGAAGTAAATCTGTGTAAGTGGATACTAACCTATGAATATATAATCTGTGAATATTTTTGTATGTAGTGACCTCTATCTGTATTTTGCTGCTAAAAATGAGTTTAAACCTTTGTCATCAACTCTAAACCATTACTGCATGAGTAATTCCAGCCTTCTTCTGCTATTATGGATAAACTCCTATTTCCACAGTGAGAAACCTAGGTCCTGACATGTCTCATCTGGGTATTTTGTTTCTTTCCATGTACATATGTAGTGGAATTAGAATTGTTAACCCAAATTCCTTGGGAAATAGCATTGGGGAAATAGCTCTATCAACTGAAGTGCATTGAGTATGTCTGCTTACTTTTTCAGGATTATTTAGATCAGCTTTCTGCCATGCCCACCGAGTGAGGTTCTTTCATTTGTTTGTAATTCATTTAAGTGATTTTATTACCAATCTTCTGTAATTTGCAGAATTTAGAGTCATTCTTTGTGCTATAACGTTCTGTTGTGACGAATGTGTAGTGTCGTGTCATTAAAATATGATACACAGTAATTTTGCCACCCCAAAATATCTCCTGTGCTGCATTTAGTCAACCCTTCCCTTCTCTCCATTTTGCCATCTTTAATTTTGCCTTTACCAGAAAGTTGTATACTTGGAATCATTTATCATACAGCTTTTTATCTCACTAACACTTCATAGCTCTTCTATTAACCTATTGAAGAATCTCTTCATTATGTGCAGGTTGTGATGGTATGAGTAAAGCGGCCATAAAGAGTTACAGATTTTGGTGTGGACATAAGGTTTCAAATCGGTTTGATAAATGACACACATGTGATTGCCAGATTGTATGATCAAACTATCTTTAAAATATCTTGTGTCTACTATTTTATTTGATCTGCTTTAACATTTTATTCACTTGGTTCCCTACGAAGTTTCCTTTGACTATTAATCTCAAGGTCACATTGTCAATGCAAAAGAGTAGGTAATACAAAATTTCGCTGCTTGGGTGGGTGTGGGGGAGTCCCGCAGTGATCTTCTCTATGTGAATTATTTCCATTAGTAGATTAACTGAGCTAGTTGAACTGGACTGTTTTGTGCTTGTACAGGAGGAAGAATAGATGCTATTATTCTTATTTACCCTGCAACCGTCACCACCAAGCAATGGATTTTTACATACAAAATTGAATTAACTGTAAAGTAAAGGATTTTATTCACATCAGATTTATATTCCCGTGAGTGACAGCACGTTTTATTTCTTTGCAGCATTCATTCAGTCCGAGAGTATAATAGAAGTACTACGTTTTGATGATGGAGGACTACTACAGGTAATTGTTTTACATTGAAGTGCTTGTGCTAAGCCTTGATGAATGTCTGATTATTATTGTTTTTTAAAGATATAACTGATTTCTCTAATATATTTTGTGAGCTTTATTTGCATATAGGTTAGTAGAGTCATTAGCATTAAAAAATGTGCCTTAACTATCTGAATTATCTTTTGGATTAAATATTGCTTTGGAACATGAACTCATTATAGCGTTAAAGCCAGTAAATAAATGAAGTGTTCATGGCTCTAGCAAATACGCCTGTGGCTTTGAGGGCTGGAGGGGGAGGCAGCTCAGGAGTAGGTGCTCCAGGAGTGGATGCTCCAGGAGTGGGTGCTGGTGAATTAAATGTTAGACCTCAAAATATTCATCTTGGAGAAAATCCTACCGGCAGTGACAAGTACTGTAGTTTTCACTTGTATTATCCTTGAACTTGTCACCCTGCACCATAGCTTTGACTATATTATGTAGTCAATGAGAACATGTAATCTGACGATGATTGTGCCCTTGCTTTCAGTCCTAGTTCAGTTATTACCAGGAAGTGCTCCTTTTGACCTTCTCATCTGAAAATCAGTTGTAGAATTTCAGAGCCCAAGCAGAGAGCAAAAGCCGTTAGATGTACCTCTGATTTTTTTTGGAACTGGGTGTTTTTCTCCTTTCCTCCAAACCTCATTTGTATCCCGTGTTTGTCATTGCTTGCCATCATTTGTAAATGGTAACATCATTTATTCAAGTGCCGTGCTATTGGGTAGCCTGCCTGATCATTGTATTTATTTTATATTCAAAGAAAATGAAGGTTTGAGTTAGGAAAGTTGCCCGGGATGCTTTGTGTCTGTGGTGATGGAATCATCTTCTCGCTTCAGATGGGATTGTTAATCTCACCTTACCTGATACTGCTCAGGATGCACAATTTCCTTACACATAAATAAATAACCTAATTCTGAAAAATATATGTATTTCCTGTAGTTTAAACTAAAGGCAGGAAAGGAATAATTAAATTAAGATTAAGAGTAAATAATTCCCCCAGGGTCTTGCAGTGGCATATCTCTTTGTATTTTAGCATAGATACAGATTTAAGTTTCATACACTAAGTGAATCAAGGAGAATGAGAAAAAAATAAGGCTTTTTAACACTCTTTTCCTCTAACGATGAACCTTACATATCTTCTGGAAGACAAGCTTTGCTTTTCTTTAAATTTGTAAGTAAATTTATCACTTATCTTTATGAGGTAGTGGGAAATACAGCAGGCAAGTAATTGCATGGTACTTGCAGAAAGTCATTGCTTTAATATTTTAAAATTAAATTTGAAACGAATAAACTTTGATTTTCCAAAGCCATATTGCTAAAAAGTTATCTAGGTTTCTTAGTTCTTTATCTGTTTGGGTGAGATTCATTCACAAGAATGTGTATTTTAAATATCTTCCTTGAGGTAGCTATTTGTGCAGTCTGTGGCAGGCAAATTGGGATTGCAGTTCTGGAAAACTCCGTAAGTGGAGTTCCCTTTTTGGTTAATAGGAAGGATCTGTATTCCTTACCAACCAGACATCTGGATTACAAGTTGATAAGCCATTTTGATTTGAGGGAAACTGTCCATCCATTTCTGCATGAATTTGGCCATGGAAGGGCCTGTGGACTGGGATACAGTTTGGTCAGCTCTGGTCAAATGCTTGGATGAGAGTTTGGTTGATTGGAACTCCAAGGAAAATATAATTTTAGCCCCCCAAAATATTGAGAGCAGGTGGTATCAGTTGGTCACTTGAGCTTTAATAAATCTAAAACTCTTGCAGAGTATCTCCAATGTTGCAATGTTGGATATGGTGTTAATATATCTTCAAATCACTTGATTAACTTTTGAATGGAAAGAGTTCATGTTTAAATCAGTTTTGATGTTAAAGAATATTTCCATGCAGTCATTTTAACATATTATTCTGACCATTGTTGAAATAGATCCTGATTTCTTACGGTACAATTAGAACATTAAAAAGTACATGGAGCATTTCTGTGGTAGGAAAAGCATCAAATTTCTCCAAATTTAAGCTAAGCAGGGAGAGCTTAAGCAAAACCTTATTTAACATTATTTAAGCAGTGAAGTTTTCCGAATAGCATTGCTTCTGAGATCTGGAACTATTAACCTTCATGTAACTTGATCACATTAACCTTTTTAATTGTCAAGAATAAAAATGGCAAAACTCATAAAATCTTGCTGTGAATGTTAGACTTATCTACCTTATTTTTGTAAGTAAGGAAAGTAAGGTTCATAGAAAGTAATTTGTTCAGCATTCATTTGCTTTTGAAGGAGTACAACATTTAGCAGGTATTTGCTATATAATGATCAGACATGATAACCCTATGTGCCTGTTTTCTGTAACTGATGCTTTGGCCATTGGCATTCCTGATTGACAAAGCTGTTAAATTTGGCATCTAAAATGTACAAAGATCGCATGATTCCTAATATGGGCATGGACACCAGGCAATCCGCAACTGTACAGAAGCAGTTTGCATTGAAACTCATCACCATAGGATGTTCTGGTCAATATCTCAAACATTCATTCCATTTTGACTGGTCAGCATGGTTGGTTTTTCCTAACCTAACCTTTTGAGAGATTATAAAGTGGGTTAACCAAAAGATACTGTTTCACTTAGTTGTGTTTAAAAGCATTAGCCTGTTTCCTAATCTAACTTTGTTATAAGTAAAGATCAAGTTTAGGAGAAGACTGGTTACTGTTTTTCCCACCATTCTAACAGAGTAATTGGATATGTCCTGAGATGTTCAAAGGTAGGCACCAGAATGTTAATGGGTTGGAAGCACGTATAGCGTTTTGTCTTTTGAAGTTTGTAGTTAAAGGAAACCAGATTTTTTTATAAAAGATTTATTTATTTTTATTGGAAAGGTGGAAATACAGAGAGGAGAGAGAGAGGAAGAACTTCCGTCCAATAGTTCACTCTCCAAGTGAGCGCAGTGGCAGCAGCTGAGCCGATCCGAAGCCAGGAGCTCTTCTGGGTCTCCCACACGGGTGCAGAGTCACAAGGCTTTGGACTGTCCTCAGCTGCTTTCCCAGGCCACAAGCAGGCAGCTGGATGGGAAACAGGGCTGCTGGGATTAGAACCCGTGACCATATGGGATCCCGGGGTGTGCAAGGCGAGGACTTTAACAACTATGCTATTGCGCTGGGCCCAGGAAATCAGATTTTACAAATGGGATTCTAGCCACTGAACTAGGGACGCTACATTGATATTCTAACAAAAGTTAACCGCAGTCCTAAATTTCAGGGTAATTTTCAGGTTTTCCCTGAGACTTTATCTTCTGAGCATATTTCTCAGTATACCATACTTTCCCCTGGATTTGGAAATTTATACATTTTGTAGACTTTAATTAATTAATTTTTTTCTGGGTTGCTTTTTCTAAGATGCTGTGTGCTGAGTGTGATTTAAATACTCATTTTCACTGCTGAATAGCATCCTATTATGAATTCGCTACAATTCATGTATGATCTCTTCTGTTCGTGTACATTTTGGCTCCCCCTAGGTCTTGGCTATTTCGAATAATGCTGTCTCTTACAGAACATATACATGCATTTCTGGTGGAGTAGAGTATAATTGCTCTGCCACAGAGCATATGGATCTTCGGTGTTAATAGTTCAATGAAGTTTTCCAAAATGCTTGCTTCAGTTTACAATCCTATCATTAAGAGTTCCTCTCTAATACTTTAATGTATTTGCTTTCTTTGTTTAAAGCTGTTCTGAAAAGGTGGTCATAATATCTCATTGTAGTTTTATTTGTGTTTCTCTGCTTGCTTATAAATCTAAGCAACTGGTCATGCTTATTTTACCATTTGGATAATCAATCTCTTCCGCCCATTTTGTTGGGTTGTGAGCCTTTTTTTCCCCCATTGTTTTGTAGGAGTTCTTCATAAAATTTGGCTACAAGCTCTTTGTTGGAACCCTGACCCGTACCAATAATACAAATTAATTCCATGAATAAGCTCTTTCTTTGTTTTATATGTATATTATAAATATCTTCTCTCCCTTGACGAAATTTTCCTTTTTTTTTGTTTAAGATTTATTTTTTTATTGAGAATGCAGATATACAGAGAGGAGGAGAGACAGAGGGGAAGATCTTCTGTCTGTTGATTTACTCCCCAAGTGACTGCAATGGCCAGAGCTGAGCCAGTCAAGCCAGGAGCCAGGAGCTCCTTCTGGGTCTCCACGTGGGTGCAGGCTGCCAAGGCTTTGGGCCGTCCTCGACTGCTTTCTTAGGCCATAAACAGGGAGCTGGATGGGAAGCAGGGCTACCGGGATTTGAGCCGGTGCACATATGGGATCCTGGGCATTCAACGAGAGGACTTTCAGCCGATGAAATTTCCTTTTTATTGATGCAATTATGACTGCTGATGAACAGAATCTTAATCTTAGTGCAGCTCAAGCCTTTTCTGTTATATTTAATACTTTGCTTTTTTGAAGAGACTTTTCTATCCCAAGGTCATAAAAGTTATTCTTTGTGATTATTTTCTAGAACCTAGATTTTTACTATTTTGCCCTTCACTAGTAGAATCACAATTTGTATGTGTAATTAACTTTTGTTATTGGGAAGTCAGGTTTGTTTCTCCCATAGATTTGACTGTCTTTATTGAATATTTCCCGGTATTTATTTTTACCAGTACTATCCAGCAACATCTTATTCATGAATCAAGCACTCTTACATGTGTGAGTCTGTGTGTGGACTCTGTTTTGTAATTTTTTTTTCTATGACAAGATAGAAATGTCTCCTGTCAGCTGATTAATTACCAGATGCCCACAACAGGTGGCATTGGGACAGGCTGAAGCTAGGATCTAAGAACTCATTTCAGGTCTCCCATGTGATACATAAACAAGTGCTTGAGCAGTCACCCACTGCCTCCCTGGAAGTGCATTAGCAAGAAGCCCCAGAGCCTCAAGCCCAAGGCACTATGTCGTGGCATCTAAACTTCTATGCTAGATTCCCAGCCCAGTTTTATATTGGTCTAC